CAAGAGGAAATTTGGAAAGAACCCAAATACATGGAGACTAAACAGCATCCTTCTAAAGAATGAATGGGTCAACCAGGAAATTAAAGAAGAATTGAAAAAATTCATGGAAACAAATGATAATGAAAACACAACGGTTCAAAATCTGTGGGACACAACAAAGGCAGTCCTGAGAGGAAAATATATAGCGGTACAAGCCTTTCTCAAGAAACAAGAAAGGTCTCAGGTACACAACCTAACCCTACACCTAAAGGAGCTGGAGAAAGAACAAGAAAGAAACCCTAAACTCAGCAGGAGAAGAGAAATAATACAGATCAGAGCAGAAATCAATGAAATAGAAACCAAAAAACAATAGAACAAATCAACGAAACTAGGAGCTGCTTCTTTGAAAGAATTAATAAGATTGATAAACCCCTGGCCAGACTTATCAAAAAGAAAAGAGAAAGGACCCAAATCAATAAAACCATGAATGAAAGAGGAGAGATCACAACTAACACCAAAGAAATACAGACAATCATAAGAACATATTACGAGCAACTCTATGCCAACAAATTTGACAATCTGGAAGAAATGGATGCATTCCTAGAGACATATAAACTACCACAACTGAACCAGGAAGAAATAGAAAGCCTGAACAGACCCATAACCAGTAAGGAGATTGAAACAGTCATCAAAAATCTCCAAACAAACAAAAGCCCAGGGCCAGACGGCTTCCCGGGGGAATTCTACCAAACATTTAAGGAAGAACTAATTCCTATTCTCCTGAAACTGTTCCAAAACATAGAAATGGAAGGAAAACTTCCAAACTCATTTTATGAGGCCAGCATCACCTTGATCCCAAAACCAGACGAGGATCCCATCCAAAAAGAGGACTACAGACCAATATCCTTGATGAACACAGATGCAAAAATTCTCACCAAAATACTAGCCAATAGGATTCAACAGTACATTAAAAGGATTATTCACCACGACCAAGTGGGATTTATTCCAGGGCTGCAAGTTTGGTTCAACATCCGCAAATCAATCAATGTGATACAACACATTAATAAAAGAAAGAACAAGAACCATATGATACTCTGCATAGATGCTGAAAAAGCATTTGACAAAGTACAGCATCCCTTCCTGATCAAAACTCTTCAAAGTGTAGGGATAGAGGGCACATACTTCAATATTATCAAAGCCATCTATGAAAAACTCATCACAAATATCATTCTCAATGGAGAAAAACTGAAAGCATTTCCGCTAAGGTCAGGAACATGGCAGGGATGTCCGTTATCACCACTGCTATTCAACATAGTACTAGAAGTCCTAGCCTCAGCAATCAGACAACAAAAAGAAATTAAAGGCATCCAAATCGGCAAAGAAGAAGTCAAACTATCACTCTTCGCTGATGATATGATACTATATGTGGAAAAGCCAAAAGCCATCCACTCCAAAACTGCTAGAACTGGTACAGGAATTCAGTAAAGTGTCAGGATATAAAATCAATGCACAGAAATCAGTTGCATTTCTCTACACCAACAACAAGACAGAAGAAAGAGAAATTAAGGAGTCAATCCCATTTACAATTGCACCCAAAACTATAAGATACCTAGGAATAAACCTAACGAAAGAGACTAAGAATCTATACACAGAAAACTATAAAGTACTCATGAAAGAAATTGAGGAAGACACAAAGAAATGGAAAATTGTTCCATGCTCCTGGATTGGAAGAATAAATATTGTGAAAATGTCTATGCTACCTAAAGCAATCTACACATTTAATGCAATTCCTATCAAAGTACCATCCATTTTTTTCAAAGAAATGGAACAAATAATCCTAAAATTTATATGGAACCAGAAAAGACCACGAATAGCCAAAGGAATATTGAAAAAGAAAGCCAAAGTTGGTGGCATCACAATTCCAGACTTCAAGCTCTACTACAAAGCTGTCATCATCAAGACAGCATGGTACTGGCACAAAAACAGACACATAGATCAATGGAACAGAATAGAGAGCCCAGAAATAGACCCTCAACTCTATGGTCAACTAACCTTCGACAAAGCAGGAAAGAATGTCCAATGGAAAAAAGACAGCCTCTTCAACAAATGGTGTTGGGAAAATTGGACAGCCACATGCAGAAAAATGAAATTGGATCATTTCCTTACACCACACACGAAAATAGACTCAAAATGGATGAAGGACCTCAATGTGAGAAAGGAATCCATCAAAATCCTTGAGGAGAGCACAGGCAGCAACCTCTTCGACCTCAGCCGCAGCAACATCTTCCTAGGAACATCGCCAAAGGCAAGGGAAGCAAGGGCAAAAATGAACTATTGGGATTTTATCAAGATCAAAAGCTTTTGCACAGCAAAGGAAACAGTTCACAAAACCAAAAGACACCTGACAGAATGGGAGAAGATATTTGCAAACGACATATCCGATAAAGGGCTAGTGTCCAGAATCTATAAAGAACTTAGCAAACTCAACACCCAAAGAACAAATAATCCAATCAAGAAATGGGCAGAAGACATGAACAGACATTTCTGCAAAGAAGACATCCAGATGGCCAACAGACACATGAAAAAGTGCTCCATATCACTCGGCATCAGGGAAATACAAATCAAAACCACAATGAGATACCACCTCACACCAGTCAGAATGGCTAAAATTAACAAGTCAGGAAATGACAGATGCTGGCGAGGATGCGGAGAAAGGGGAACCCTCCTACACTGGTGGTGGGAATGCATGCTGGTGCAACCACTCTGGAAAACAGCATGGAGGTTCCTCAAAATGTTGAAAATAGAACTACCCTATGACCCAGCAATTGCACTGCTCGGTATTTACCCTAAAGATACAAACGTAGTGATCCGAAGGGGCACGTGCACCCGAATGTTTATAGCAGCAATGTCTACAATAGCCAAACTATGGAAAGAACCTAGATGTCCATCAACAGATGAATGGATAAAGAAGATGTGGTATATATACACAGGGAATACTATGCAGCCATCAAAAGAAATGAAATCTTGCCATTTGCGACGACGTGGATGGAACTAGAGGGTATCATGCTTAGTGAAATAAGTCAATCGGAGAAAGACAACTATCATATGATCTCCCTGATATGAGGGAGAGGAGATGCAACATGGGGGTTAAGGGGATAGGAGAAGAGTAAATGAAGCAAGATGGGATTGGGAGGGAGATAAACCGTAAGTGACTCTTAATCTCACAAAACAAACTGAGGGTTGCTGGGGGGAGGGGGGTTGGGAGTGGGGGTGGTGTTATTATGGACATTGGGGAGGGTATGTGCTATGGTGAGTGCGGTGATGTGTGTAAACCTGGCGATTCACAGACCTGTACCCCTGGGGAAAAAAATATATGTTTATAAAAAATAAAATTAAAAAAATAATAATGAAATTTAAGCATTCAAAAGTAATAGCCCACAGTTGTATCGCATTTTTATGAAGTTTTAGTACATTGATGGTCCATGCTTAGTCACCTTTCTCCCTGGATCTTTCATTATCATACCTACACAGTGTTGAGCCTATGTAGTATATGCCCATCTCTACCATAGTAGTCACTGCCCTATGTGCTTAAATTCACTAATCTAATAGCAAGACTCTTAATTCCATCAAACATGGATTTTCAGCTGCAGGTGACAGAAACACAACTCAAACTATGCATAAAAGAGAATTCCTTGACCCTTTAACAGAGAAACCCAAGAAGGATCCAGTACCGGGGCTTTCAGTCTATCCACGCTTGTTCTCAATGAGTTGGCCTAATTATTTACTACCAGCCAGACTTATTCCAGCAGCTGGGAAAAGAGTAGAAGTGTCCCAAACTGCTCTAAGTGCCTATTACCTCCAGCTTAGAAATCTCAGAGGAAAAAGCTATGTTCTCCTCACATCCTTACATAAAATCCTAAAGAGGAGCCTGGTTGTCCAGGTTGGAGCGTGTGCCCAAACCTGGGCCAACTGTGGCCTGGAAGATGGTGACAATATAATGGGTCAAGTAGATTGGCTGCTGTGATTTGCAGTCCCCCCACCCGCCGCCCTGAACAACCTGATGTGAAAGAGGAACACATATGTTCACAGTGACTTTGTGAACATAAAGTCACAATGCCCTCTCTGTACTTATTACCAAGCCAGGCATTAGGAGAGAGATACGGTAATACAAGATATGTTTTGTAATTTTCAGAAGTTGATCGTCAAGACCCAAACACATGAAAAGTTAATAATTCAGTAAATCTAAGATGTGAGAGTTAAGTGGAATGATAAGAGTTTAGACTGAGGAAAAGATGACGCTGTGTGTGCCTTGAGCACTGAGAAGGCTGGTCACCTGCACGCAGGTCCTGAGCCACATGATGGTCCGCTCTGGCAGGCGAAGAGAGAGCTCAGCTGCGGGTCTAGCTCTGTCCCTAGCTACCTGGTACCATGTCATCCTCTAACCCCTTTGGCTTTTATTTTCTTGTCTAAGTAGAGAGGCTATTATTATGGGAATATTATCATGTGGACTTTAAATGAGATAATTGACCGAGAAGTACTAAACAGCTACCTGCTTACTCACTCCACAATGGAAGCAGCTAAACCATGAAGACCTACACATGAAGAAAGGCCTGCAACAGAGTGAAGAGAGCATTGTGCTACCACTTGTCTGAGGGAGGTAACACCAGCACCCAGATCAGGGCAGAGAGAGGGGAGCAGGATAACGTGCTAATATCACTCTAATAATCTCTCACTGCTCTGCTCTGGGACCACAGAATGTGCTGTTTTCTGCCACTTTACTTCCCCAGTTGCTTATTGTGTGGCCTCAGCGTGAGGAAGGGAACAGACTGTCTCCAGACCCAACGATGCTGTGAGCTCCCTCCTCATTAATTAGGGAAAAACCTACCCTTTTCATCGGTATCTTTAAAGAAAAGATTGACATCTAAAAGGTATATCTTTTAGAGAACACTAATAACTAGGTGATAGTGAAAAGGAAAAAACAGCCTGTGGATTCTTGTGATTGTTTTTCTTCAAATACACAGGTATCGGGGCAGATATTCTGAGTAAAGAAGAGCAATTTCAAGAGGCAGCACTCAAAGAACTTATTGCAAAAGCAGAAGCTGACGTATGGGTTCAGGTAAAAGAAGCTGGATATCAACCTAAATGCATGTTTATGGTTCTTTCACTCTCTGGGTTTGTCTGAAACCATTGGTAGAACTGACTGAATCCTGGTTATCTGTGGGACCTTGGGCAAGTTCTTCAACTCTGCAGTCTCAGCTTCTTCACGTGTAAAAGAGGAACCGTAAGATTCTATAGGATTGTTGACGGAGCTCAATGAAATAATGTTCTGGAACACAGGAGGTGTTTAGTGAGAAGCAGACGCCATTAGGAGCTTCCTTCCTTCTGAATTGCCCCTCTGTGTGGATGACTCCTGCTTACTTTAATCTCACTGGATTAAAACATAAAAAACAAATCCTTGTTGATAATTGCTTATTATTGCTTCCTATTTGTACGGTGTGTAACACCCCTGACCAAGTGCCTAGTTTTGCCAAATTCTGCATTACGGTCTGCTCTCCTTGCTCCATTCTCTCCAAAGTCCTTGATACCTTGTCCCTGTGACTGCTGAGGGTTGTAGTGGTAATTTGAGTGTGTTGGGACTCACAGTCAGGTCCCAGACACTTAGCTGAAGCAAAATCTCAATCCTTCAGCCCCTACTTCTTCCAGTCATAGACAGAATAACAAACAACTTCCCAAAGAGAATCTCTGTGAGACCAGGACAAGCCACAGTGCTTGGAACCTTAATTCTCAGTTTCTTTATAACATAGATATCATAACAAAGAGTGTTAGAATTGTCCAGCATCTGTACCAGCGCAAGCTTTGTATTAGAGTACTTTGAAAGTGCAAAATGTTCCAAGTGCAAAGGCTAATATGAATAAAAAGCCTTAGTAGTCATCTCTCTTTATCAATAAGAGTAAAATTCACATCAGTTGCAACCTGTTACTTATACACCCTAATACAAAGCAATGCTTTTATGAGTAATCTCCAGTTTGCACGTCAGCATATCTAATGATGTAGGCATTCTCTTCAGATAAAATAATAAAACCTCTTTCTGAACGTCTGATGGAGGTCAGGGATGGTGCTCAGCCTCCTTTCTCTGCAAGTTCTAGCTTTGTGCATCTTTACACTTCTCTGTATTTTCCAGATTTTCTGGAATAAGCACACATTCCTTTGACAGTCAGTCAAGCAAGAAATACAGTGCCAGAGAAAAGACAGCTCAGCAGCTTACAGTAAAGCTCTCTTTAACAGTTCACAGAATAGTGATGTTAGCCATCAACTGGGGGATGTGGCAAGGCATCTCTGGCTGAGGCAGCCAGTTTGCTGTGGGAGATTTGAGATGGAAACAGAACAAGTAATTAGGTGCCCCATCGTGGTTGCTAATTTTCAGTGAACGTTAAAAATTTGTGTTAATGTAAGTTTATACATTGTAAACATTAATACATATGGGCTGTTTCTTTCAAAGGCTGATGAGCGTCAAAAGCAAGCAGTCGAGAAAGCACTTGAGGAAGCAAATAACCAACACAAAATTGATATTCAGATTCTGAAAGAAGCACACCAAAAAGATTTACAGGTTTTTATGATGACTTGTTTGTTGTCTTTGTTAAGGGTACATAGGTTAGTTAAAAGCTCTGGCAAACGAATGAGAGAAAAAACAAAATATGTAAAACCTCGATGGATGTTTCCTGGAGGTTGGATGGGAGACCCAGGATTTTTACAGAAGAGATGCTGAGCTCACAGATGAGAGCCGCGGTGATGGATGGGTGTGGGAGAATCCCATGGTCTCTGATGTGATGAATCCAAACTTTTATGGGGTTTCAAGGCCCAAAGGAGCTACCCCGTCTACTTTACCCACCACATCTCTTGCCCCAGCCCTTCTCTCTCACTGCCCTTTTTTGGGTCCTCAAACCTGAATGCACCACCTCCTTCCCACCTCAGGGTCTTTGCAGAATGTTCTTCCCCCACTTCATGGGATTTAGCTCAAACATGGGATTTAGCTCAAACTTGAGGGAAGTTTTACCTGATCAGCTCTTCCCTGCCACAGTACTGCCTTGACACCTTGTCCCCTTTTACAGCGGTCCTCACCCGTCAACATTGCAGTTAAATAGCCTGATTACCTCTGCCCCACGCATGACAGTAGCCTCCAGTAGGCATGTCTCTCATTCCCACTCTAGCCCAGTGTCTAGCACAGAGCCTTGACTTAGCAAATGTTCAAGGTGTTCAAGTTGGGGCCAAACAAAGGAAGTAGGCTATTTTCTTCCTTCTCCCAAGCTCTCTGATTGCCTCCTCTCTCCTCAATTTGCTTTTACTGCAGTGCCTAGAGGGACCCTAAGCTGTTACTGAAGTATTTCCTGCAGCACCAGAGGGCATAAAATGAGGGGTCCTCTTTCTAACCTGGATCTTGTTCAAGCACACAACTGTAGGTAACTGGCCCGCTTTCCAGGCAGAGGTCCAGGAATTCATTATTTAGTTAAGTACCTCAGTTACAAAATCTGATCAAAGAAAAAGGATATAGAACTGTTTTCATATGGCAGCCACGGGAGGGACAGGACAGGATGTGGTGTAGATGCGATGATTTATGGGCAGAGGCTGGAGGGAAGGTGGCAGAAGTCTGGCCCCAGATTCAGCGTAACTTAATAAGAACAGAACTAATAAACAATTCAGGGGCTACCAGCCCATTTATTCATTGTTTCGGTAATGAGCACCTACTGTATATCAGATGGGTATTAGATGAGATTAAATAGACTGTCCTTGTCCTCAAGAAATTTGTTGGCAGGAAAAGGAGCTCTGCCCCAGGATCCTCCCTGCTTGGCTCTGGTGGCCGTGGTCCCTGAGAAGTGGGCTCTTTTAGCTCAAAACATGAAGAGCATTTAAGCACATCTACATGGACTGCTGCACCACTGGCATCTGCCGGTATGGCTCTAAGTATTTAAATACTTCTCTATCAGTTGATAACGACCCCCCCCTTCCAGTCTCCCTGGCTGCTCCATCAGACTCCAAGACCTCCCCCAATCCAGCAATGAAGGGGGCAACCCTTTAAAACAGTGGGGGAACTTCAGGCCCCTGCACCAGTGCTGCTGTCAGAGAATATACATTTTGAATATCACTCTTGGCATTAGGCTGTGAAAATACAAGGATGACCAAGCTGTGATGCCAGTTTCAAGGAACTCATGTTGATTGTACCCCATATAGCCTTTGCCTGGAGTTGATACACTTGGTGCTGAAGTAGAATTCCTAAGAAGATGTGAAGGGGAAAAGTTAGAAGGAGGTTGACCTTTCTAAAATATTCGTCTAGGGTTTGGGAATTCACATTTATACTGCCATTTCAGGGACATATCTTCTTTTCTTTTCTTTTTTAAGATTTTATTTATTTATTTGACAGAGAGAGAGAGAGAGAGATCACAAGTAGGCAGAGAGGCAGGGGGAAGCAGGCTCTCTGCTCAGCAGGGAGCCTGATGTGGGGCTCGATCCCAGGACCCTGAGATCATGACCTGAGCCGAAGGCAGTGGTTCAACCCACTGAGCCACCCAGGTGCCCCAGGGACGTATTTTCTTAAAGATTTTATTTATTTATTTGAGAGAGAGAGTGTGTGCACACACACACAAGTGGGGGTGGGGGAAAGGGAGAGGGAGAAGCAGACTCCCTCCTGAGCAGGAAGCCTGACACAGTACTTGATCCTAGGACCCTGGGATCATGACCTGAGCTGAAGGCAGATGCTTGACCAACTGAGCCATCTGGGCACCCAAGGATATTTTTAGTGTAACAAAGGAGTGATTTGTCTTTAGAGGGATGCGTAAGATTGTTTCAACTTAGGGTACCCAGACATACACATCATTATTGCTTCTCAAGTGGTGTCTATGAACAACCTACTTTAGAGTCTACTCACCTAGGAGCTTAACACGCAGATTTCCAAGTCCCACCTGACCTACACAGTCAGGGGCTAGGTTTTTAACCAGCAGCCCATGATTCTCACATGTATTACAATTTGAGATGGCCAGTATGAAGAGCAGAAAACCAAGCTATTCTAAAACCAAATGCCATTAAATTCAGATACGTAGATCTCATCAGGTATTACTCTTTTATGATATTAAGAATTTGGGATGCCTGGGCGGCTCAGTTGGTTAAGTGGCTGCCTTTGGCTCAGATCATGATCCCAGGGTCCTGGAATCGAGTCCCACATCGGTCTCCTTGCTCAGTAAGGAGCCTGCTTCTCCCTCTGCCTCTGCCTGCCACTCTGTCTGCCTATGCTCACTCTCTCTGACAAATAAATAAATAAAATCTTAAAAAAAAAAAAGAATTTGGCATAAGTCTCGGTGCTTGCTGTTAAACAAAATTTCAAGATCTTATCCAATGGATGACAGGTAGGTAGTACTTTGCAAAGACGTTTATATTAACGTTTTCCAAATACAATGATATTGAAAACGAAATGATAACATGGAAGCTAAGGGAAAATTAGAGTAGAAAATATAATGAAGTCAGGAGTGAATTAAAAACTTAAAAGTGTATATATGCATCAGTTCCTGTGCAATTATTACTATTTGGGCCTTGAACTTTCTGGCAGTCAGTGCAAAGAGGAAAGTGCCATGAATCACCATGTCCATTAGGCAAAACCAAATCAGATACTCAGAGAGGCCCAGATATTCCTACACGTGATAGCTGAGAGAAACTTCTCCTAAGGGAGACATCGTGTCATAAATGTCTGTCACACATCAGCGCAGCAAATATGATGGATTTCATGAAGCTGTTACTTACAAATATCTCAATATATGAGCTGATTTATTCAAAATGCATTTCAGTAAAAGTAATTTAACTGGGAGACTTTCCATTGAATATGAACACTGCCAGACAGTCAGTCATTGAATTATTTTTGTAACCTTAAATATATATTCCACATACTTTGTGAGGCAGTAAAATGATTTCGCTTTTAATACACCATTACATAAAAGAAGGATTCGTTTAATTCTTTGAATCCCAGTTCAGAACACAGCCAAAATTAAGGGCTGGAGTGTCATTTTAAAATTCAGTGATTCAAATAGAAATAATTTATGGTACTCTTTCATCTCTCTAAAACTCAACCATTCAGCAATCTCAATTACTGAGAATATACTTGAAAACCCAGAAATAATTTAAAATATCCCTGAGGAATTTAAATAAAGCCTCCGACTACAAGACAGAAACTCAGGCTTATTACTCATAGCAGAACCTCTCCATTCCCCACTCAAATGTTATTTACATTTAACCTGACAGCCTGAACCCAGCAGATGTGGCTGCTCAGTGTCACAAATCCAAAATAGATTAAAACCAGAAATGACAAAAAGGAGCTCACAGACAGCAATGAAAAGAGGGTCCTCAGCACAAACCTGTGAAGAATAAGAAAAAATTACAAAAATCAGATATCAGATCTCAAAAAGCAAAGCAGTCTGGGACCATTTCTAACAGAGACAAGTAGCCCAATAACTTGAACAATTACTAAGTATAGTATAAAGTATTTAGCTCAATACAGTTGTTCTCTTTTATCTACCAGCCTGGGTCATCAAGAAGGGTTAAAATATGTTCACTATATTCTTTTTTATGAAGTAAGATAAATGTTAAAGACATTTAGAAGTATTTCCACGTAAAATGTTTTATCATCAAAAAGTTCTAGTCTTCTCAGAGACAAAGCCTTCTGCATATGGAAAACCTAGCTGGCATTTCTAAATAGCCAATGTTTTCTTTAACATTTCTTTGTAAATCCATGAGCTGAGGCCATGGAGAGATTCTTAAAATTGTTTTGTTGTTTTATTCCTTTTTTAAAATTGTCTCCCTTGGAGTAGCCAAAGTGGGAGGTTGAAAACATTCCTTCTCTTGAAAAAACTGAAGTCTTGGGGCACCTGGGTGGCTCAGTTGGTTAAGTGACTACCTCCAGCTCGGGTCATGATCCCAGGGTCCTGGGAGCGGTAGAGCTCTGCATTGGGCTCTTGGCTCAACAGGAAACCTGCTTCTCCCTCTCCCACTCCCCCTGCTTATGTTCCCTCTCTTGCTGTGTCTCTGTCAAATAAATAAATGAAATCTTAAAAAAAAATCTAACAAATATTTTGTTGAAACACTTTTTTTCTAAAAAGCTAAAGTAGTTACAGTTTCCATTGAGACACAGAGTTCAAAAGAAAGAAAGAAAGCAGACATCCTCACTGTGATTAGAAGATTGTACAGGGTTTCTGGAATGAAAATAAATTGATGAATCTCTTGGAAGACCCTAGCATCACAGCCAGCAATAAAGCAAGAAATTGTCATTGAGAATCCTGTTTCTGTTCCTAGTTCTGTGAAATAACTTCTTTATGCCCTCTCGTTATCCTTAAAATAGAGATAAAAATTTACTTTTAAGTGAAAGTTTGAAAACTCTAGACAGAATTCATTGCTCCTCCTTTCTTGCATTTCTACTAAAACACTCTGCATGATTAAGTTGCTGGTTTCCTCTAGATCTGCATTAGACACGGAGTCCTCAAGGAGGAGGATCCCAGTCTTCTTGTGTTTGTACTATATGGGCCTAGCACAGTGCCTGGCATACAGTGCAGTTAGTAGCCATTTCCAAAATGGTTACAAGGTTTTCCTTGAGAATCTGTTTTTCTTGAGTCCTGGTTTGACTAGTGCTTCCTGTCTTTACTTGTGCAAAGGCATCAGGTCCTTCTACTCTGGAGCAATGAAGCTCTTGTTCCTGTTCCCTTGGTGAAAGAGAAAGGGCCCCTCAATGCTAATGAGCTAGAATGCTCAGATGGCAAGAGGACCAGCAGACAAGCTTCTGTGACTACAGTAATGGGCAACTGTTAGCTGCTTGACCCTCAGGTTCCCTCGTACCCAGGAGACACTTGGGAGACATAGTAATTATTTCTGTCATTTTCCAGGATTGACTTCCTAAAGGAGAATCATATTATATATCCCTAACATGATATTATATTTGGACAATCAAAGAAAAAAAGATCTATTTTCCTTTTTGCATATTAGGGAATATTCCAATATTACTTATAAAAATATTTATGTTTTATGGTTTGCAACATTTCTGGTATTAACATTGTGTAAATGAAAGTTTCCATATTATACACAGTCTTCTATTTATTTATTTATTTATTTGAGAGTGAGAGAAAGCATGAGGGAGAGAGAGAGAGTCTGTGCCCAACGTGGAGCCCAAGGCGGGGCTTGATCTCATGACCGAGCGATCATGACCTGAGCTGAAATCAAGAGTTGGATACTTAGCCGACTGAACCACCCAGGCGCCCCCTGCAGTCTTTTAAATCATCAGTGTTCACAGGAGCATATTCCATCAGGTTGATGAACTATGATTTGAATAACCTTTTAGTGTGTATTTTTATTTTTTATTTTTTTTTTTAAAGATTTTATTTATTTATTTGACAGAGAGAGATCACAAGTAGACAGGCAGGCAGAGAGAGAGAGAGAGGGAAGCAGGCTCCCTGCCGAGCAGAGAGCCCGATACGGGACTCGATCCCAGGACCCTGAGATCATGACCTGAGCCGAAGGCAGCGGTTTAACCCACTGAGCCACCCAGGCGCCCATAGTGTGTATTTTTAAACATCAAAGCTTTAGGGACACCTGGGTGGCTCAGTCAGTTAAGCATCCGACCCTTGATCTCAGGGTTATAAGTTCAAGCCCCACATTGGGCTCTTGTGGAGCCCACTTAAAACAAAACCAAAAAAAATATTAAAAAAATAAGTAAAAATAAAAATAAATCAAAGCTGTAACATCTCAACCTATTTAACTGTTGCTTAAGGAAATGGCAGCCAAAACCAAGATAGAGGAGCACCAAAACATGGAAGACACACTACAGAGAGAACACTTGGCTGCAGAACAACGCATGGTGCATAGAATCCAGAGGATTATGATGGAGTGCCACAGGGAGAAGGTCCAGGCTGTGGAGAAGGCTAGGGCTGAAGAGAGACAGATGGCCCAAGAAGCAATGCAGGCCCAGAAAAGGTATTCCAGAGAACACATTTGCAAATCAGTATCTTACTCCGGCCAAAACAGCTCGGAGCAAGGGCTATTAGGTTGAGACACATAGGTGGATATTTCCCAGGTTCTGTGTTTTAACATTTTTATTATGGAGTATTTCAAACATAGAGAACAATACGTAATATATTGTAGAATGTGTGTGTGTGTGTGTGTGTGTGTGTGTGTAGTTTAAAGAAAAATAGCATGAATATTCAAGGACATACCACTCCTCTGAAGAGACTGAAAATTGCAAACACTTCTGGCGCTCCCATGTGTTCTTCCTCAATCACATTTCCTTCCTCTCCCCCCACTCAAGAGATCACTACCATCCTAAATAATGTGCTTTGCATTCTGTATCTCCAGTTTTAAGAGGCTGAGGAGAGGAATCAAGAACTATTTCCCCATAAACACATAAAAGTCAATCTTTACATTTGTTAGCTGATATCATATGCCAGCATGTATTGTGTTACTTTTGGTCTTTTCCTTACTACACAAGTAATACATGCTGTAAATGGAATTGACACTTAGAAATATATAGGGCAAAACATGCTAAGTCCTGACTCACTGCTTAACTACCCTCCCTGTCTCCCAGGGACATTCATTTTAAATAATGGGGCCCAGGTCTTTCTGTGCCCTTTTGACATTACGTCTTTATATTTGTACATAATCAGAAATAATTTCTACATAAATCAGATCGCTTTTTTTAAAGAATACCAAAGTAACCATTTTTATGTGTGCAACGAACATTTAATGGAATTGGACACTTTCAACAGAACAGCAGTCAGGATCCCTAGTGATTATTGGGACCAAGAGAAAAAACACAGTTTGCAGCTACTAAGTGACCTGCCTAAGATCATGCAGCTTCAGCAACAGAACCAAGACTGAAATCTCTGTGTTTGGCCTTGTATTCTAGGACTTGTCTGTTTTGCTTTGCTCTTTGACTTAAGGAACAAATCTGTGATTAATGGGTAAAATCTTTGTTAGAACTGTTTAGAATAGGGCCAAAGGTCAAATCCTATAGAATGTTTATTTTGCAGATAAATAAGAGTGAAGGCTGCAGCTGTGACTGTTTCAGTGGTACCTTCCTTCATGCACAGGCTATAAATCATTGTTGAGATGGAAAACGAAGGTGAAAGAGGATTCTGGGAGAAAGTTAGAGAAGGTGGTGGTGCCCAAATGAGTTGTGGTCCAGTGCAGTGAAAGATTGTATCCTCCTCTCCCTTCTCCCCACCCTCCATCTGCAGGAACTCTGTCTCTCCTGTAGAAGGTCTATTCCTCCTGGGTCTACTCCTCACACACCTGCAGTGTCTGCTCCTTCCACTTTGCTGCTTTCACCATCCTACCCCCCCCACCCCCGCCCTGCCAACCTCTGGCCCTTTCCTCTGTGAGGGTTGAATAGAAGATTTTCGATGGCTGCCTTTTATTAAGTAAGTTGACTAAAATTAGGGAATGGCCATGTCTGTTGTTTAAGAATATCCAACTAGAATGTCCATTTTTTCCATCGATGTATTCCAAATGCCTGGAAGAGAGCCTGGCACATGCTATACATGCATTAAATATTTATTAAACAAAGCTTCGAATTTGTTCCAATTAGCTGAACCCACTCTGCAGCACATCAGATCTTATTTCTAGACATTGCTGGATTCCAGTGTTCTTTAGAGCATTTGCAGAAATGAATATATGGAGAAGGACCACTGTTTAGAATTTGACTGTAGATCTTTTATTTGACTATAAACTTCCACTGAAGAATTAAGGATTCAGAACATTTACATATTATGATAAATATGCTAAATTCACAGAAAACTTTTTTTGTGGACTGCGGTGATTATCAAGGAAGGAAGGAAAGAAGGAAGGAAGGAGAAGGGAGGGAGAGAAGAGAGCAAGCAGGCAAGTTTTGCTTAGAAAGGTTCTAAGTGTTTTCTAGCCCAGGACAAAGGCATGAATGAAGGGACTGCTCAGGAATTTTTGTGTTCATGTCTATAATTGCTAATGATAGCTACCCTTAGTTAACATGCAGCACATGCAAGGCCCTTTGTGTGCTTCTCACTGAATTCTCATATCCCTTCCCAAGGCATTCTGTCATCCTCTATATCTTCAGATGAAGTCCCTGAGTCTTAAGAGAGTGAGTGAGCAACCTGCCAAATGTCAATAGAGAAGAGGTGACGGGGCCCGTTGTGAACCCTGGTCTATCCCATACCAAAGTTTATGACCTTCCATTACACTGCCCTGCTCATTTCACTAGAGCTTATAAAGTGCCTTCTATGGATGTGGTCCTGAGTTCTGCTGCAAGGAAATAAGGGTGTTTCCTCAAAATGTGTAGTGACTAAAGCATGGCTACCCCATAGACCAAGGCTAGATGGATGGGTAGAAAGAACACATAAATGCTGGGAAAGTCCTGAAAAGATCAAGTGTGTTGGCTATGTGGTAAGCTAGCTTTGTTGGAGGCAGTTAGTCTTGGGTTGGGCCTTAGAAAGGGGAAGGAGATCCCATTTTTGAAAGACTGGAGAGAGTGAGAGCAGCACCAACAAACATGTAGAGGGAAGGTAGATAGTGTAATGAGGCAGAACCAAGGGAAGGTTAAGAATAATCCTGAGATAATAGATGTGCCACTAAGGGGTGGCCTCTGGAGATGTCCCCCCACTAAACCTATGCAATGCCTGTCACCTCAGGTTGGGGAAATCACTAGTCCTCCTGCAAGACCAGGGTGCAGTAAGTTCCCAGGTGGAAAGTTAGAATATATTTTCCTCCAAACACATGGTTATAACTGATTAAAATAGTGCTAACCGTGCTATAGTTCAAGTGAAAAAATGGGTTAATAGTTTGTTGTGGGTTCATCAGGCAAATGTTCAGTATCACTCTAAATACTTGATGTACAAATGAATTTTGGGAACAAATCCCTTTATAATTTAGGAATTGAAGAAATGGAGAAATGAAACATTGGTCCTTATTGTCTTAAGAACCAAGACTTTTACTGATGGACATAGAGAGGAGATTGAAAAGTGCTTTTAGCAACATATAGGGAAAATGAAAACTTCACTTAATAGGTAGAAGGGAAGGAACAGCCTGATATTATTCTTTAAACCTGTGAGCAATATAATTTGTACCATTTCAATAACCTCCCAAACACACAGAGAGAAAGCTAAGAGAGTCCCTAAATAGAGCAAAACACAAGTCAGCTGCTAGTATGGTTTTTCCCATGCTTTATTTTTTCCTCAAGAGTCTAATGAGGTTGGATTATTATATATTAGATTCTATTTTTATTTACTAATCTAGTTTTCTTCTCTGAGAACCCATTTTATAAAATATCAGTCTGAATCCTATAGATATATATGAACACACACTAAAATTATTCAATTTCTAGCCAGCACTGCATGTAAATACTGTGTATCATTTTGAAATCCCAAGATTAGAGCCTCATAAAGTGAGAGAAGGCAGATAGACCTCACCACTTAGAGAAAGAAGGATAAACATTCATGTCATGTCAGGAGGGTCATTGGAGGTCATCCAGTTGAACTTGCCATTCCTTCCGCTGGATGCCTACTAGGCACTGGTGAGCCTCCTGATTCCTTTTGTCCCAGGAATTTTACAGTTGGTTGAAGTGGTTGATTAAAATGCTGAATGCCTTACTTGTCATGTGCTTCCTAATGTGGATCCAGAATGTGCTGGGTCTCATCCTCACATCCACACTTGGCTTCTAATTCTGCCTCTCCCCAATGCATAGTGATCCTCCAGATATTTCAGAAGAGAGAAAGGCTGTCCAAGCATTCGTTTGGAGGAGAAAAGAAAAAAAAAAAAACAAAGAGTACTAAGCCAGTTCCTTTACTCCTTCCCCATATAATATGATTTCTAGGCCCTCTTTTGAGAAAAAAAAAATGTTGTGGGTAATTTGTATAAATCAAAAAATATTTTAGATAAACCACAAGAATTGACTTTTTATGATGAATATTTTACTTATGCTAAGAAACCTTTTTAAGCATGAATTATTTCAAGCTTTAATAATGCTCTAATTTAGCTGTTTTTAAATTAATTGTTTGGCATAAAATATGTTTTGGGGAGAACTACGTCTATACTACCCATTCTTTCACTCATTTATTGGTTACCTGTTGTATACACACCAGACACCATGCCAGACAGGGGAGATAGAAAGCTGAATGGGTGCTCCAGACCATCTCTCCATGCCCTGCACCCACTTTCCTCCTGGCTTCAATTCTTTCAAGGAAATTATCAGAATTAAGATCAGAGATACTCTGACCTTAAACCAAAAGGAGTGAATCCCACCGGATCAGAAATTCAAGCTCTGACATAAGCTGAGAGAAGTTGGAAAGGACATTTAAAAAAATACCAGATCGTTTTAGTGAGAAGAGATCTCTAGAGCAAGGTGTTTTAGGCCAGGGTGGCGGTGGTGGGGTGGGGTGGGGTGAGGTGGGTACTATGGAGGGTGGGAGCTGGAGTCATCTAAGATGCACTTTATTTGAGCAGTTTTACCTAGGACCAGCTCTGGTGGCACCTTCTAGTTGGCCCCATAGATGAATACATCCCCTGTGTGGGCCGGGAGAAAACCAGGCAAAGCCAGCAGGAAGCTCGCACCTGGATGGGACAGAGCTGTGGTTCCTGAGGAATACCACTTCCTCTGTGGAGATTTGAACCTGGCTCAAGGAAGCGTCCTACCAGTTCTTCCTAATCAAAGCCCCAGGGTCCCTAGTTGCCACCTTTATAGCGTCTCCAAAATCCTGAAGATTCTATGAAACATCAGACTAAATCATCAGGGTGTGTGTAGAGGCTCCCTCCTGGCTCTGGCCACAGTGTGACTTCTTTTGATGGCACCTCCATTCTCCTGTGACCCAGGCTAAGAATCGGGAAGTTTGTCTGGATTTTTCTTCTTTCTGCCTCCCCTGTATCCTTGCCAACACAAACTCTGGCACTTACGGCTTTGTAATATTTCTTGGACTTATCCTTTTCTCTCCCTCTTCCTGCCCCTTTCTTTTTTATCATTAATTCAGACCCTAATCATTGCACACCCAGAATGTTGCAAAATATAGTACCAGTTCATCTCTCTACTTCACCCCATTACTTTTCAGTTTAAACACTATTACCAGAATAATAATTCTAAAATGTTACTTTCCTTGTGTTGTCCTCCTGATAAAAAATTTATAATTCTCTCTCACACTATTGCAGCAGGTCATGATTAAGGGCAGGAGCTCTCCCACTTGCTCAGTTGTGTCACTGAACAATAACTAAATCTCCTTAAGCCTCAATTTCCTCCCCTCTTACATGGGAATAATTAGAGGTAATAAATAAAAATTGTACAATCTTCAGTTATTATGAAAATTAAGAGATGTAATGGATGCCAAATGCTTAACATAGTCCCTTGGACACAGTACATATTCAGTAAATATTAACCCTTGTTATTAATCATAGATGTAGCCTAACTGGTGAGAAAAGGGAGGAGAGAAATAGTGCATAGCAGCCACAAAGGCTGAGGACAACTGATATTTACCTCACGATTGGGGAGGTCTGTCACGTTTGAAAGTCAAGTTGAAAGAATCAGAGACAATGAGAGAATTGCATCTTGGAGGTTAGAAGTTAGGAGATGGGGAAGGTGCTAAGTCTTGGGAAGATTGTATTAGACTCAGAGGCAGAGGGTGAGGATTTTCAGGAACAATCGTACATATTTGAATCAACATTTGTAAGTTATTTTATTCTCAAATCTTGGAAGGTTCTTCTGAAACTAGGTTAAGCAGAGATGTCCACCAAAAATGCATGCAATGGCTAAAAGCTTTTGACCTGGACTTAGACTGCCTGGGTTGCTCATTTTGCCCCTTGTACTGATTAAATGAAATAGGGCAAGTCACTTAACCTTTGCGAGCCTCAGTCTCCTCATCAGTAAAACAGGCGGACTCATAGACCCACCTCATGGACTCGTTTTGAGGAAACGAGCTAATGTATGCATGGGTTGCTCATCCGCTTACTTGCCTGGGACATGGTAAAAATTCAACACAGTTGGCTGCTATGAATTACATATAGTTACATACATTACAACCAGAGGCCTGTGAACTCATTAGTGGTGGTTCTCCAAGAGTGGTCCAAAGAATGCTCAGTGTCCCTGAGACCATCAGGGGGTCCCCGAGTTCAAATCTATTTTCTTAATAATACAAAGATATTATTTGCCTTTTCATTCTCATTAGCTCATGAGTACAGAATAGCATTTTCCAGGATTTTATGACGTGTGATATAACAACAGATTGAAACAATATGAAAAATCCATCTTTTTTTCTATTAAGCCAGACAAGCAGAGTTTTGCAAAAAATATGAAATTATGCCACTTTTCTTAATTTTGGTGAGAAATACACTTTGGAAAGTATATTTTTCATAAAAAGGTAAATTAATTACATTTAACATTTAATAGATTTAATCATATCTTACATAAATGTGTAAATATTTTTTGATGTCTCACTTTTAATTCTAATTCTAATACTGTCAGTTTTGCCAGGTATCACCCATACAAACAAAAGTTGTTTGGGTTTCTTGGTCATTTTAAGAGTGGAAAGGTTTTGAGACCAAAAGGTCTGAGGTGGCTATCGTAGAGAATTGTTCAGATAAAACTGTGAGTATAATTTCCTCCCCTTTGGCTAAAGGGAAGTAGCTGGATTGATAGAAATACTTTCTCTAGTGGTTTAGAACTCTGACCCAATTTCTTCATTTTTAATCACATTGCATTCATGTTTTTCTGGCCACAAAGGACTCAGGTCCCTAAAATTACCATCAGACACTAGGCTAGTAGACCTCACCCTAGTCCGTGGCAGGGAAGACAGTGGGCGATCTCCCTTCGTAAAAAAGGTTTTTGGATTGCTAACAGCTAGTGTAATCCAAAAGCTCATCTCTACCCACCTGTCTCAGACTGATGGCTCATCTGAACACTGCCACAATTTCTCATACATCTGAAGCAAAAGATGTCGCTTTGTTTTTAGTGGTTAACCCATCTAACTTCTAAATCCCTATCTTTTCTAGAAAAGCCATGGAGGAAATTTTGAATACTGGTATAACAGCTATAAAAGATCAGAGCAAGAGTTTGAACCAAATGATAAAAGAAAAAGAACATGAGATGAACGTGTACTATTGCATGGCTCAGAGACAGAAGCAAGAAGAGGTCCAGGAAGTGCTTCAAGAAGCAGAGAAGACACATAAGACCACGCTTGGAAATGTGATGGATAAACTCATTGACACTCAGGGGGAGCTGCTGTCCATAGCGAAACAACTAGGCATTATGACAAACTGGAAAGATTTCCTGGAGGAGGAATTACAGGAAACAAGGGAAGCATTTCAAAAATACATCAATTATACATTTCCTAAGCTTTCCCCAGGACATGCAGATTTTATTCTACCAGAAAGAAAGAAAACACCTTCCAGTCTTGTTATTCAGGAGAATGAAACAACTCTCGATTAGAAGTCTTTGACTGAAATTTCGCTACAAAAGTCAATGTTCCAAAGACTAAATAAATCAACTAAAAAACCACTTATTGATCCCCAGTTATATGGAGGGTACCATTGGGCTGCTGGCATTTTGATGGAAAACCAAAATACTCAAAAAGCACACGCCAGGCTACATTGAGTTCTAAGTCTTTTTGAGGAGAGAAAACAGTGAAAGGGATCAAAACTAATTAGAAGGGGGAAAGTTTCTTGGAAGAAGTCCAAATAAATTTCTATAATTGGCTTTATTCTTGCCTACATCAGACATGTAGCTATTTTAGTGTTTGTTGCAGTTAAAAACAAGTAAAGGGATATGTTTTTAGATTGTTGCTATTGTGGGGAGGTGTGCTAATTTCCAGTAAAGACCGTTATTTGGTGAAGTCAATAGCATTGTAGGGAAAAAAGCAATTTCCTTCAAATTCAATAGGATAAAATTTAAATTCTGGGAACCCTATGCAAGCTAATTCAGAGAGGGCTGGCACGCTGAACATGGTACACAAGAGGACTTAAAACTCATTTTCACAGCAGTGTGTGAAAGGTACAAACCAGTAACGCAGTCACAGATAGGTTAAGTCACTTTCTCAAAGTCATACAGCTTGTAATGATCACAACTGGAGAGCATGGGTCTTGAGTCCACGCTTTTAGTCATTATTTTGTTCAGCCTGAACATCAAGGCCTTCATGCCTGGTTGGTACTCTGCAAGTGTGTGTCTGGGTGGATTCTATGATGAGGACAAGAAGAACGTGGTCTGTTCTCTCTGTCTGGCATCATTTTTGTGTCCTGGAAGTCGAAGGATGTTATACCTGATTGTGGTATCTGAGTTATTGGAGTCACCCACCAGATTCAAATCTGAGTATATACCATAAGGGAACAGAAGGAAACTGTCTTCTGAAGGATCCTTCTGAAGGATTTTCGGCCACAGTTCAGCATGACAACTTTGGCATCAGTGACGTAGTGAGTAACATGAAAAGAAAGCCAACAATGTATTTTTGGTTTGAAAAAAGGAACCTACCTTCTCAGTCTTCAACCAGATTGGAAGACATTAAATTAGCTGTGTTTTTAGTATTTTCCTTGTCAATATTGCTGTCCCTTCTCCTAACCCAATCCCAAACAACAGCTTCCTTAGAGTTTTTAAAGCAATTTGGACCCACCAGAGAACTTACCTCTCCACTCCCCAAAGTGCTAATCATCCTCTTGTCATAGGAGTAATCACAGGGGATCCTATCAGGACAGACTGCCTGATCCCAGGCCCCCATTTGCCACTTACTTTAGAGTCTGGAGTCAGCACCAACCATGGCAGGAGGCTCTTCTTTCACTTCCCTTGTTCTCACTCAGCTTTACCTCTCCCAGAGTCACACTGGGGGAACATCATCTTCGCTCTTTCCTAAATCTTTCACCTGATTTGATCAGCTCAACCCATAGTTCTTTCCAGGTTTGAATGTTTCCCAGATAATATAGCCCTGAGAATTAGAGTTCAAGTGGTTGCATAATTTCCCCTAAAAAGAAGGAAAGGCTGATGGCAGACTAAAAATGAGATGTAACTCATATATGTAGTGCCACATTCAGTGGGACCCCTCAGTAGTCTCTTGTTTCTATGACACTGATAAGGATGATCCTGATGGATTAAAAAATGACACAATGGAAAATATAGCAATAGCCATTTCTGAGCATGCACTATGCACCAGACAGTGCACTAGGCTCCTTACTAAACATTGTCTTATTGAAATCTCACAGCAACTCTGTTAGATACCTATGAGGACCTCAATTTTGAAAATGAGGAGCCTGCGACTCAGAGAAACAAAGTCATTTGCTGAAGATCACAAAATTGTTTTTCTGTGTTTTTCATAATTATAGCACATCAGCCTAATTTAGTGCCTGTGGAAACACTAAGTAGCTACCAGTCATGCGTTGCTTTCAAAATACATTGAATTGTAGCAGGGCAATTCTGAATTATTTTGCAGAACCCTGACTGTTCCAGTGGCTATGCTTGGGAGCCAAGAGTGAAGGGGAGCAGAACTGGACAACTTTCCCCAAACGTGCTCAATGAGCTTTCCTAGATAACTAGCCCCAAGGGTGAATTTATGGAGGGGCATACTCCCTCCCACCATTCCAAAGTCAAGAAGGACAGATTCCCCTTAGGGTTCTGGACAGAGATCAATTGCCCGTAGCTCAAAGGTGACACTCTACAAGTCAAGTGAAAATTAGAAGTGAGATATGTTTTTGAAATCTCAGTGGGAGCCTTACTCCAAGGTTTTCTAGGGAAACTTGATTGAGACTAAATTGGGTTATTTCCAAAAAGAAAGATTCTTTGAGTGAACCAATTTTTTTTTTTTTTTTAGCATAACTTAACTTGAGAACACTTAACTCTCCTGGTATCATTTACTTCAAGTACAATCCCTAAAGAGACCATTATAGACCTCAGATACTAAGCCCCATGTGAGTTACTGAAATTGTAAAAGTGTTGGAGAATTCTTTTAAGGAGAAATTAAAGAGTGCATTTTTCTTAGTTGTCTTAGATGTTACCTGTACAATAGAAGTGCATGCATGGGGCTCCTGGGTGGCTCAGTGGGTTGGAGCCTCTGCCTTCGGCTCAGGTCATGATCCCAGGGTCCTGGGATTGAGCCCCGCATCGGGCTCTCTGCTTGCCAGGGAGCCTGCTTCCTCCTCCTCTCTCTCTCTCTGCCTGCCTCTCTGCCTACTTGTGATCTCTATCTGTCAAATAAAATAAATTAAAAAAAAATCTTAAAAAAAAAAAGAAGTGCATGCAATTCCCATGTTCTCTGCTATTTAGGAAGATATATTAATTCATGAAGGCCACCTGGGAACTTAATCTGGGGATCCTAAGAAGTAACTTCAGTTTAATTTTCTAGAAGTCATTTCACAAAAAAAAAAAAAGAAAGAAAGAAAGAAAAAAAAGAATCTTGCTTTTGGAGAAAATAGATCTGTAGGCTGGAAAACAGATGTACAATACCCCTAGGAGAGGTGGAGAAACCCCCAGTCAGTTTAGTCACAAAGCACAGGAGTTGGGCTAGTTAGTGATCAGTGGACCTTGATGTTACAAAGAAGTCACTCTAACTTGGATTCCACTCGACCTATTTAAAGTTTGTTTAAATGTATTTAGTTTGGGGGGCCTGATTTACATGGACACCAGGTAGACATTATTTGGCAAAACTTAGGTTCACTTACAGATCAGAGGAGTTTGACCAAACTCTTCTTGCTTGGCTGAGATCACTCAGAAGAGGAAAGGAGAGGAAACATCACCATCTGTTGTCCAGTTATTATAAGTCAGGCAGTGAGTGAGTGTTTCATCTGCATTATTCCACTTCTGCCTCACAGCAACAGGATGAAGAATTTCAGGCACTTTGAGGTTAGGCATTCTGTATAAGGTCACCTATTTGAGAAGTTGGGATGCATTCAACCAATTGCTATCTGATTCCAAATTGCAAGATTGAAAATAAATGGGTTTTACTCTAGTTAGGTTCCAATATGAACACTTTACTATTGAGTTGAATGAAGTTAAAATTACCTCTTTGTGTATAGCAACTGCCTGTTAGATCTTAAAATTTCTGAGGGTCTAAGTCTGTCAATCTGCTTTTTAAAAATTCTTGACAATATATGATATTTCCTATTTTCATAGCTCTATTTCCTTCTTACCTATTTGAGTGTCTATTTCCCACCGCTGGACCAAAGACCATAGAGGACTCTCTGCTGAGCTCTCATAACAAACTCCAGAGCCAAGCAGTATCCTTGACCTGTCACTTTATACGGCGCCAGTATTTCTTGTCCCCTCATTCCCAACTCCAGGTTCCCAAGCAGGGCTATTTTATCACTTGTGCATCTGAAGGAGTATCACTTAATTACATAATAGAATTACAGAGTTATGAATCTCAATTAAAAATATCATATTTCTAGAATCTCTACAATGTAGAGACTACAATCTCTAGAAATTTATGGGACACGTATAGAGACAATGGGATAGTAATTATTACTTTGTTTATTCAGCATGCATCAGGAAGCAACCTACTAGATGCCAGGTACTATGTTAGAGGCTTGGGTTCTTGGTTCATGACTTAGGTGGTAGTCTTTAATCTTGGAGAGGTCAGCCAAATGGATAGAAAGATGGTGAATACATGTGTTACAATGTTGTCAAGGGGTGGGGAAGCAACAATAATGTGCTCATAGCCCCATTTCCTAATTCATGTTCTGCCATACTGGTAGGTGTTAATATTTACCCCGAGTCGCCTTCTGTCTGATGTTCTTACTTAGTGCTAAGTCCTGTCCACATTAGTGAAGGAATGGCTTGGTGCAAATTTTGTTCCTAGTAAAGTGACTTCTACAATCCGAAGGATGAATTTTCCTAGTTCTTGCATAGTTTTGTCTTCTCAAAGCTGTCAGGTAGCCAAGAGTAGATGGTTGTTTTCTCTGTTGGTTCAGGCCACCAGATTCCTATCTGATGAAATATGATCTCTGGGATCTCTGAAATCCAAGGAGAATCGCAGCCTTTGGGGAAGTCCTCAGGAAGATACAAAAGAAAATCCTGCAACTGTGGTCACTCAGTTCCAGGCAGCCCCAGAGGCTCAGTCTGGCTTCATGCTTTCTGGTCTCACAGATATACTCAGTGGACTTTAGCAGGGAACATCCCGCTTCGCTTCGGCAGCACATATACCAGATATAAAGGGTGAATTGTGGGGCATCTGGGTGGCTCAGCTGGTTAAGCATCTGTCTTCAGCTCAGGCCATGATCTCGGGGTCCTGGACTAGAGCCCCGCAGTAAGGAGTCTGCTTTTTCCTCTCCCTCTACTCTCTCTCTTTCCCTTCCCCCTGCTCATACATTCTCTCTTTCTCTCACTCTCTTTCAAATAAATAAAAAAATATTTTAAAAAGAAAACTCAGTGGATGAGTTATGAGACCAAACCCCACTGTTTTATTGCTGAGGAATTTAGGCAAGCCAGTCTCCCAAGGGGTATGTCCAAGTCACCCCCTGTGTCTCGTCTCTAGGCCTTTATTTGCCTCCAAAAGGACACTGATACCCCGAGAAGACTTCTTGGCAAACAGGTAGGATTTAGTAATTCAGCTTACTCGAAGTGTGTTTGTGATCTTGACTTCATGACTCACCTAAACTTTGCAACATAACAATATGCACAATATATTGTTAAGGAAATGTCAGAATTATCACTCATTTTGTTTTGCATTTTATCCTTTAATTTCTGAATAATTAGTAAAAACAATTTAGTATCTTCCTTTCCAAGTGAAGAGGTGAAAGAAATAAAGGAGGTTATTATTGAAGTCCTTAAGTGAAAATAAAAGATACCCCTTTGTATTCATATGGTTTTGTAAGCTCCTTGGATCAACTAACAAAGACAATCATTACATACCATCATCATAATTTCCCCATATTTAAGAACTCTTTTTTGTCTTATTTACCTGATATTTGATTTAAATAACTTTTTACTTACGTAAACATCATGCTTTGGGAAGAGAGAAGAAAGGAAGCATCATGGCCTCACAGAGACTGGCAGAACAGAGCTGAAGTGTTAAAGCCAGACAGAGCAGGTAATGATGACC